TTGCCGCCACCACCCCCACCGCTGCCACTAGCCCCACGAGTCCCACCACCACCCCCACCGCCACCACCACCCCCACCACCGCCTCCCCCGCCGTCACCTCCGCCTCCCTTGCCCCCTTTGCCCTTGCCGCTGCAGCGCCCGCTCGAGGCAGACGCGGCCCCGACCTTCTCAAAACCAAGGAGGTCGACAGCAGAAGCAGAGGCTACAGAGGGAAGAAGGGGGGAAGGGGAACACCCCTCAAAGAAAGGGGTGCGGGGGTCGCCACGAGAGGCACCTACAGCGATTATGCTAGCCTCAGCTGCAAGCAGCTCCTCCTCGAGGAGGGCAATGGTGAGCTCAGTGGGGCAACGAGCTAGGAAGTGGTCCCTGACAGCACGCAGTGTGTCAGGGAGGCGGGTGACGAGGTGGTAGAGAGTGAGCCAGAGTGGAGGGGGGTGCGTGGCAAGGAACTCAGCGGGCATGGCGGCACGGAAGCGGGCCTCACTAGTACGGAGGTGCGTGATGAGGTCAGCGACTGTGTGGAACGAGGCCAGGTCGGGAAACAGGTAGGGGAGGGAGAGACGGCCTAGCGCGGCAGAGGCAGGTGAGGAGTAGCGGGCAACGACAGCGGTGTACAGTGCCTGTGCAGTCTTGTGCTGGCCAGAGTGCTCGCGCTCGTCTATCGGCAGGGAGTTGCGAATAGCGAAGCAAGCGTGGGCGTCACGAGTCTGCCACTATGAGCGGGCAGTGCTGTCAAGAGTAGCAGCAGGAGCAGTAGCATGGCCGAGGGCGTGATTGTACAGTGAGATGTCCTCCTTGCAGTGAGCTGTAGGAAGAGATGTAGGTCATCTAGCCAGGTATCGAACTTCACTGGGCGGCCCTCAGCATCGAAAGCTAGCACAGGAGGGCTATCCATAGCAGCAGTAGAGTAGCAGTAGTTGCACCCTAAAAAACAGTAGGCAGGGGGGCTCGGTCCAGTACGGGCGGCGCGGCTAGGTTCAGGTAGGGCGGCTCGACTCGGGTAGGGCGGCTCGGCTGGGTTCGAGCGGCGCGGCTCGGTTCAGGCTGAGCGGCTCGGTTCGGGCAGCTCGGTTCGGGCTGGGCAGCTCGTGGGTGCTAAGGAGCGGCGCGCGGGTCGAGAGGGGGCCGACGGGGCCGCTAAGGGGCGGCTCCTGAGGTTGACGGGGCCGGCTGGGGCCCCTAAGTGGGGCGACGCGCGGGGTCGACGGGGCCAGCGGGGCCGCTAAGGGGCGGTACGTGGGGTCGACGGGGCCACTAGGGGGCGACGCGCGGGGCAACCGGGGCCGACGGGGCCGCTAAGGGGCGGCGAGCGGGGTCGACGGGGCCTCTAAGGGGCGGCGCGCGGGTCGCTAAGAGGGAGGCGGGTCGTGGGGCCTTAGGGGGCCGTGAAAAACGAGGCGCACGAGGGCGCTAGGGGGGGAGGCGCTCGAGGGCGCTCCGATAGTAGGGCGCACGAGGGCGCTAGTAGGTAGCAGTAGTGGTGGGCCCTAGGAATCGGTCCTAGCGGAGGACCTGCTCTGATTCCATGTTACGAACAAGAAGTTATTGCACTATGAAAGCTGGAGTACAAGTAGGAAACCCTAACTTTGTGTACCCCCTAAAGGCTAACCCACTATAGCCTACACAATAATAACACATATAGTGTTTGAATAGTAGCCTCAGGAAACTTGACGCGCCAGGCGTCGCTGAGCCGAGAGAAGCAGCGGTACTCCGTGTGAAAGTCGTTGCATGGTCGACCAGCACAGGGATCTGTGCGAATGGTATCGGTGCAGCAAACAAGATCCCCAGACGCCCCACGCTGAGCGTACCAGTCATGAAGCTGCTGAGGCGTGGGGGTCTGACGTTGACGCTGCTGCTGCGGCTGCTGCTGTCCCTGGCCACCACTGGAGCTCCCCTTCTGGCCGGCTCCACTCCAGCTCCCACCACCGCTGCCACCACCGCTCCCTCCTCCCCCACTCCCGCTGCTGCCACCTCCACTGCCCCCAGTACCCTCGCCGCCCCCACCACCACCTCCACCCCCACGACCACCCCCACCACCTCCACCACCCCCGCCGCCTCCACCACCGCCCCCTCTACCGCCACCTCCACCTCCCCTGCCACCCCTGCTGCCCTTGGCGCTGTAGCGCTTCCCACTAGGAGCGGAAGCAGCCCCGACCTCCTCAGCACCAAGGTAGTCGAGAGGAGCTGCAGCAGAGGCGTAGGAGGGGGCAAGAGGGGAGGGGGAGCACCCCTCAAAGAGGGGAGTGCGAGGGGTGCCACGAGCAGCACCTACAGCGAGAATGTTCTTTTCAACTGCTAGGAGGTGCGTCTCGAAGTCGGCGACAGTGAGAGTGGTCGGGTCTAGGGCGAGAAAATGGTCCCTGACTGAGCGAATGGTATCAGGGAGGCGGGTGATGAGGAACTAGAGAGTAAAGTACATAGGGGGGTGATTCTCGGCGAGGAACTCGTCTGAAAGGGCGACACGAAAGCGAGCGTCACTAGCGCGGAGGTGAGAGATGAGGTCCTCAGCGGTGGTAAACGAGGACAGGTCGGGAAACAGGTAGAGTAGCATGAGACGGCCTACGGCTGCAGTGGCTGGGGAAGAGTAGCGGGCAACTACAGCCTCATACAGTGCCTTAGCAGTCTTGTGCTGACTAAAGTGCGCACACTCAGTGATCGGCAGATGGTTGCAAATTGCGAGGCGCGCAGCAGCATCGCGAGTCTGCCACTATGAGCGGTGAAGAGCGGTAGTAGTGTCAGCAGGAGCAACGGAAGTGCCAGTCACGTAATCGAACATTGAAACTCCGTCTTTGGCATCAGTCAGAAGGAACAGTTGCAGGTCGTCGAGCCAAGTGGTAAACTCTATCGGGCGACCGTCGGAATCGAAAGCTAGGACATTGAGAGTCGTCATGAGTGCAGCGCATGTGAGAGTAGCGCGTAGGCGGCAAGGCAGAGCACAGACAAGAGAAGCTGCGCATAGGGCGGCAGTGGCGGCGCAGAAGCTGCTGAGGCGGCACGCACGTGGCTAGGGCGGTGCGCAGGGCAGCGGCGAGGCGCGCGCAGGCTGCTGAAGCGGCGCGCGGGCGGGTAAGGCAGCCCGCGAGGCAGGAGCGGGCCGCGCTCGGGCGGCGGACGCGGCGCGCTAGGCAGCAGCGGGCTGGGTGGGCGGCAGACGCGGCGCGCGGGGCAGCAGCGGGCTGCGCGGGCGGCGGACGCGGCGCGCAGAGCAGCAGTGGGCTGCACGGGCGGCGGACGCGGTGCGCGGGGCAGCAGCGGGCTGCACAGGCAGCGGACGTGGCGTGCGGGGCAGCAGCGAGCCGCGCGCGGGCTCCTAAGGCGGCGCTCGGGGCAGCAGCGGGCCGCGCGCGGGCTCCTAAGGCGGCGCGCGGGGCAGGACCAGGCGGCACGCTCGGGACTAGGGCAGCGCGCGCAGGCAAGGCAGAGGCGCGCATGGGCAGCGCAGAGCAGGCAAAGCAAAACGCGCGCGGGCAGAGCAGCTTAGGCACGACGTGGGGCAGATCAGTCCTACGGATCTAGTGCTCTGAATACCATGTCAGAATGCTAGGCAGGAATCAATCAACTAGGAAAGTGTTGGGTACAAATATGAAACCCTAGAAGGCGCTGTACCCCATATTGGCTACTCCATTACAGCCTAAACATATATAGCATATATATAATTTGACAGAGTTGATTCGCGCTCACTCCAGCAGTGGTTATCGACGAAAATTGAGCCAAGTGACGACAGTGCCATGGTGAATTTTCTAGTCAGATGCAAGACCAAGTGGAAGAACAAATGAACACATTTTTTTAAAGTTATTTGCAAAAGACTATGCTTTATAAGGACACCAAACTGGAAATGAGGGGAAAACCATACTTCTGTTGACTTCGGCCCCAAACGGGACGCATGAAGTGCTCGGCTAGGCCGAAACCGTTGATTTCAAACCCAAACCAAGTCGCACGTCCGTTCATTTTCAAACCCCCCAGACCAATTGACAGCTCTATTCTGGGATTGGCCAGGCACGGCTGAGAAGAAACGTACAGCTTGGCGGAAGGATGTGTACAGTACAGTTGGCTTCCTCAGGCCAAAAGAGGCACGCTGCTGTCCTGCAATTCAGGCCCTTCCCCAACAAGCAGCAACAAGCACATCAGACATGCATTCGAGTTGCAATTGCAAGCCAGAGGTTGTGGCGTGACCTCAAACCTCCCGAGCTACCCTCCCGCAATCGGACCTACACATCCAGCCCGATGCAACCTCGCGTTGGGAAGACAGTGAGTAATTTATTGTAGGAAGTAATATATCGGTCCTGTGGGCGAGAGTGTAAATCAGCCATGTCCCACCTAGCTCGAGTCTGCGTTTGCGCTATGTCGGAAGCTTTCAAAGCGGTTTCAAATATCAGCGAGAAACCTGAAAGACGAGCAGCGAGAGAATACGCAGAGCAATCGTCCGCAATCGATCGGGGCTAATAGTTGATCATGAAGATTGCGAGCGTGCATCACGCTGTTTTGCTCTTGTTGTTCGTAGCCGTTCGCACGTCGACCGGCTCACCTGAGGACAGCGGCGCGCCCATCCGCAATCCAACGCAGTATGAGGTTTTCGTGCAACAAACGCTGGCAGTGCCTGAAGACCTGAAGCGGCAGCACGCGGAGCGCATTCTGAGAGCGGAACGCGGCGAAATGGGAAGAAGCCGGCGTGGCGGGCGCGTTCTGGCCGACACAGGAATGAAGTTTGGTCTGTCGGCGCCGCCGCTCAGCTCGGGGCCGAGCATGGCGGTGGTGAACATGTCGTTCTACCGCTGGGAGAGCGTCGCGCCGCCGCCCGTCGTCGACTGGCGGAAGTCCGTCGCCATCACGCCCATCCAGACGCAATTTGTGGTGCGTACCTATCTGCTTCAACAGAGGTACTATGTCGGCTGCTTTCCTCGGAAGCAGCTCGCCAACCGCGATCAATGTATTCCCACCTCACCCACGCCCCTCTGCAGTGCGCGAGCTGCTGGGCGATCGCAGCCGTCGATTCCGTCGCTATGATGTGGGCCGTTGCCAACAACGCCACCGCCTCGTCGCTTTCGCCGCAGCAAGTTTGCGATTGTGCGACGAAGCAGTGCTGCCAGGGCGGCTGGCCCGACTGGGCCTTCTCCTACGTCTTAAACAATGGCGGAATCACGTCGAACAAGAACTACCCCTACCAGGCGTACGATTCCGCCACGTGTCTGCTCGACACATCCATGCCGTCTGTGGCGCAGATCACGGGGTGGGAGCTGGTGCCGGCATTCAACGCCATGGCGCTCATGAAGGCCGTCAGCATGCAGCCCGTCGTCGCCTTCATCAGCGCCTCCACCTCAGACTTCGCGGTACCGTGCTCCTGCCCATGTTCCTCTCCACAAGTTGTCGTTCTGCTCCTGGCTTCGCTCCTGTTGTTCCTGTTGTGTCTCCCGCTCTGAAAGTGCAATCTTCACCGCAACATCCCACAACCGCGTGCTTACAGACTCCTCGTTCCCGAGGAAACAACAGTCTGAGTCCCATGCGCGCGCGCTCTTTGGGCTCCGAGCCACATACGCAAGCTCCGCGGCACCTACTGAAACCGTTTCCCGACTCCCACGATTCCCGACTCCTCACATTGCCTGCCTTTCTCTCAGATGTACAAGAGCCGCGATGTGCTCAGAATCTACGACGGCGTGTGCTTGACGGAGGTGAACCACGCGGTGGTGGTGGTGGGCTTTAACTACACGGGGCCGGACCTCAAAGGCAGCTACTGGATCATCAAGAACTCGTGGTACACCACGTGGGGCGACCGCGGCTACATGTACCTCGCCATGACGCCCGACGTGCGCGGGAAATGCGGCATCCTATCGTACGTTTCCCGTGTTTGCGCTCAACCGTATTAGCAGAACTTGACAAGCACCACGTGCAAGTTTACTTAGCTTCTTTCCTCTCTTCCACCCACTTGCCTCTTACTTCAGCCGTTTTCTAATACTTCCCCATCCGCTGATGCACTCTTGCCACCTACTCCGCCTTCCCTGCAGCATTCCTGCTATGTACCCGGTTTACTACCCGAGCGGGCCGCAACCCGCCCGATTCTGTTCCGACACACGCGGCAAGTGGAATATCAACAAGGTGGACGACCTCTCGTCGTCGCTCTTCTCCTCCGCCCTCTCCACGGATAGCAGTAGTACCACCACGCTAACTACTTCCACGACTATAACGACGAGTTCCACCATCGTCATGCTTGCGTCCGTCACTGGCACATCGACGGACGCATCCTCGCTGCTCATCAACTCGACGACCAAGTCGGCGTCACAGATAACTGCGTGCGCAGGGATAATCAATCCTTGTGGCGGCGGGAGTTGCTACATGCTCGGTGGAATCGCGCGATGTGACTGTGGCTTGCTGTCGAATATGGTTGAGGTTATGGGAGTGCCCACGTCGAAATGTGCGCCTCAGAATCCGTGCACAAATTCGCCCGTGAACCCTTGTCGCGGCGGGACATGCATGGACGTGGGAGATGGGACGTACACATGCACATGCGCTTCGGGATACGCCATCGGAACTGCGGTGGATGGTTCGACAACCTGCTTGCCTGCTGCTGGTCTTACGAAGTCGTATGTTACACTACCCGGCGATAACTGCACGCTGGTCGCGACAGAATTCGGGATTTCAACAACCACCCTATCGGCACTGAACCCGTTTATCAACTGCTCCGTTACGGAATACTTGCCTCCGGGTGTTGGGCTGACTGTTTCAAGAGCACTAACAGCCACATCCACGTTCTGCACAAGCACATACACGGTTCAACCTTCTGACACCTGCAATTCCATCGCCCACCTTTTCTTTGGTGGTTCTCTCACAGCACTAGACAACCTAAATCCTGGATTGACGTGCAACCGTCTCTTTAAATCACAACAAATTTGCCTTAAAGCGGATTCATCATCATCCACCACATCGGGTCCACAGTGCGGACAGAGCGTTGCAGTGGTCATGGGTGATACGTGTGCTTCTGTCTCCATCAAATACATGATCAGCTCCTCAACCTTCAGCTCGTGAGTTTTGACTCCTAGATCTCACCTTTGTTTTTGTTTTGCTCGTTTGACTGATGTTCTTGCCTTAATTGCTCTTTCTCTTCATGTATTGGCTACTGTTCTCTACCTCCCCGACATCCATTGCAAGTATTTCAGGTGTTTCTATCGTGTATGTCTTCTTTCTTTTCCAATACCTCCCATGCAGACTGAATCCAGGTCTCAACTGTGACAGCCCACTGCTGGTTGGATCCTATGTCTGTGTGGCACCAAAATCATCAGATGTAAGCATCAGCGTGATAGTTTTCATTTCATTTGTTAATAACCTTTCTGCCCCTCTCTTGATCAGTGGCAAGTTTGTTGTCTACTAGCACCTTTTCATTCCTTCCCTTATCATTCCGTTTTCCCCTTGCCCCCTTTTTTCTCCCTCGTCGTCTTGCTTTCCCTTATCTCTGTCTCCTTTCCCCTGTTATATCCCCCCTGTGGTTTCTGTCACCAGACCGCCATCAGCTGCACGGGGTGGTACTGGCAGGGCGTATTGCCGCTTCTCTTTTCTCATCTTTGTCTCGTCCTCCCCCCTCATCCCCCCTCTGGCCGTCCCCAGACCACCATCAACTGCACGGGGTGGTACCGGGTGATGCAGGGCGACACATGCCCCTCCATCTGGAATGGAGCCAACCTCACCATGTCCATGTTCCAAGCCATCAACCCGGGCATTCAGGTGAGCCATCAACCTGGGCGTTCAGGTGAGCCATCAACCCGGGCATCCAGGTAAACCATGAACCCTGGCATTCAGGTACATGCCTTAGGCTTCGCAGACACATGCAGGCAAACGATCAACCCCAGCATTCAGGTGAGCCATCAACCCTTGCATCCAGGTAAACCATGAACCCTGGCATTCAGGTACATGCCTTAGGCTTCGCAGACACATGCAGGCAAACCATCAACCCCAGCATTCAGGTGAGCCATCAACCCGGGCATTCAGGTGAGCCATCAACCCTTGCATCCAGGGAACTTCCTTAGAAGCTTCATGTACAGGTGAGCCAACGACCCCACTTGACATATCAGCCCATACCCCAGCATCCAGATGAGCCATCCATCCTGGTGTCCAGGCGAGTTTCCTAAGCCTCACATACCTGGTCATACCACCTCGTACTGGTCCATCGCCCATGCCACTCCATCCGCCCCATACCACTCCATTCCGCTCCATGCCACTCCATCCGCCCCATACCACCCCATTCCGCTCCTTACCACCTGATAGAGCCCATTCCAACCCATACTGGCCCATACCACTCCAGAGCCTCATACAACCCCATACTGGCCCATACCACTCCAGAGCCTCATACAACCCCATACTGGCCCATACCACTCCAGAGCCTCATACAACCCCATGCTGGCCCATGCAACCTCAGTTTCCATGTTGCTCACTCCATCCATGACATACGGCAGAGCTCTCTTAGACTCTCACTAGCCCGCATGTGCTTCGTTGACCACTTGACCATCCACCCCCGTGCTGCTCTCACTGCTGCCATCTTTCACACTTTTCCTTCTCTCCGCATCCATTGCCAGCCTGCCTCCCTCTTTTCATTCACACCTTCCATTGCCAGCCTCCTTACCTCTCCTTCCTTTACTGTCCTCCCTTGCTCCCCAACTCCCCCCCTCTTCCATTGTTGCAGTGCCAGGCGCCCTATCTGGTGGTGGGCCAGCAGGTGTGCATCGACTCACCCGTCCTCACCACCATGCAGCGAGCTCCCAACACCTCCTACTCCATCTACACCGTCCGCCCCAACGATACCCTCTCCACCATCTCCTCGCTCTTCCTCCCCCGCTGCACACCCACCTCTGTCTCTCCCGAGTCCATCGCCGCACAAAACTACATCTCCGATCTATCTGCCCCTCTGGCGCCCGGCACGAAGCTGATCATCCCCTGTATAGGCCGCATCGGTATGGTGGACTGCGGCTGTGCAGCCTCTATCCCGGTCTGTGGGTCGGACTTTGTCAGCTACCCCTCATACTGTGATGCTCTCTGCAACTTCGCACTTCCAGCTCTCCCCGATAGCTTCTGCACCGGGGCATGTGGACCCGCATGCCAGGGTCGTATGGGCCTTGCCCCGGTTCCTAACTCCGGCTGCACCAATGCCATATGCCCGTATCCCAGCTGGGCACCGGCAGAGTCAATAGACTGTGCCAAAGTGGTGGACACGAGCTCTGGTCCCTGCTGCAGTTACAGGGAGAACACCTGCAAGCAGCAGTGCACGCTCACTGCAGCTGGATTGGGTGGAACAGTGGCTCAGAGGAACAGCAGCTATAATGATTGCTACAGCCAGTGCATGTGCTGCCAGGCTACAGGCTGTGGTGGTGCAACGTGCAAGGCACCATCGGCGTGTTGGAATGCCAGGCCTCGCAAGTGCGTGTTTGTGAACTACAGCTATGTGTGGAACTGCACGTGGTTCCCTGCTGGGAACCCCTTGCCCTAGAGCAGATTTTATGAAATTCATATCCTATTTATTATGCATTTTGTTGGGCTGAAAACGCCCTTAGGATCTTTACAGAGGTGAATTCTGTTCTTGTTGGGCTGAGTGCCCCTTAGGATCTTTGGTAGAGTTAAAGTTTGAGTGAAGTGATGTAGTAGCGGAAGCGTTTCAAGTGAAGTCCTTGAACCACCTTGCGCTAGTATGTGAGGGCAAAGTAAGTTGATTAAAGCAAAGAGATACAAGAATATATATATGAATACATAGAATATGAAGAGACATAATTAAAACTACTTTACTGTTGCGGTTCGATACAGTGCGACTCGGGCAACTGCTCAATGTCGAGTCAGTTGTGTGTCCTTGCTGTCGCGCTGCATTTGTCAAGTCAAAGGTCGCTGACCTTTGACTTTCGCGTAACCTCCAGCGGTTACATCAACCTCCGAGGGTTGACTCGCTGGTGCCTCGATATGCGCAGCTTCGCTTGTGTCTTGGTGTTTCGACACGACAGAGGCGCTTAAGATTGTTTGTTCCCAACACTCCCCTTCGCTTCTGGAGTGTCGCTGATGGTGACGTGGCTTTGTCCAGTCAGCAGCATGCAGTACTCGAACTTCTGTTTTCCGAGCTTCTTGGTCAAGTAGTCAGCTGCCATCTCGGACGTGGGACAGCAGGATAGTTCAAGTTTCCCCTTCTCGATCTCGTCTTTCACGAAGAAATATCGCAGAGCGATATGCTTTGTTCTGTTCGCGAGTCCACTTTTGTTGGCGATGCGAATCGCAGATTGGTTGTCGCAAAACAGAGTGAAGTTGGGTAACTCGGCTAACTTCGCTTCTTCCAGCAGCTCGCGAAGATAGAGTCATTCCTTGGTGGCTGAGCAGAGTGCAATACATTCTGCTTCAGCTGACGAGAGAGCGATTAGTTCCTGCTTGCTCGATTGCCAGGAGATCGGTCCGATAGGTTCGAGGCGGTAGACGTAGCCAGTGCAGGAGCGCCTATTGTCTGAGTCGCCAGCGTGATCGGCGTCGACGTAGCCGATTAATTTCGTCGGTGTAGTTGTGTTCTTGTAGTAGGTCAGACCGATCGTAGAGGTACTGACAAAGTAGTGGAGAGCGCGGTCGAGCTCCGCCAGGTGTTCTGCTTCAGGTCTTTTGAGGTAGGTGGCGAGTTGACTTGCGGAGTAGGATAGATATGGGCGGCAGGTAACGGCTGCGAAGAGAAGGCAGCTTTCTCTGGTAGTCGCGTATCCCGGTGGATTTGAGTAGAGAGGATCCTTCATTGTGGTTTCTTGTCGTGTAGCGGTAGGGCGTAGAGATGGTGGTAGGTGTCACCGCAAAGCGTTTGGCGATGGTGTCGGCGTACTTAGCGGCGTTGAGGTAGATCGCGCCTTCTTCCTCCCGAATGTTTAAGCCGAGGTACTATGTGACGGTAGAGGAGACCGTGAGTGTGAGGTCCCTCTGTAGCTCCCCTTCGAACCAGGTGGTGATGTCGTCAGTAGAGCCGATGTAGAGTAAGTCGTCTACGTAGACGATCAGCAAAATGTAGTCGGTGTCTTTGGTGAGTCAGTACATCCCTTGGTCGTGAGGCAGTTGGCGAAATCCGATGCGAGTGAGGCGAGCGTGTAGGTACTGTTGCCATAGCCGCGGAGCTTGCTTGATCCCGTAGAGTGATTTCAGCAGTTGACAGACTTAGTTCGGTTCCCCGTGGGTACCGTGTGGGAGCTCGACGAAGATTTCCGCGTCGACAGGTGCGTAGAGGAACGCGTTGGCGACATCGATTTGCCGTAGCTTCTTCTTCTTCATAGCGGCGATCGCGAGGAGAATTCGAAGTGAGGTATGTCGGCTGACCGGGGCGAAGTCCCGTCCGTGCTCCTGATCGAATCCACGCACAACCCAGCGTGCTTTGAATTTCTCAATTGTGCCGTCTGCTTTCGTTTTAATGCGGAAGACCCATTTCCCGGTGAGAATGGTCTTGTTCCTTGCCACGCTGATGGGTACAACTTTCCAGGTGTTCCGTTCCTCCAACGCCTTTAACTCTCTGTCCATAGCTTCACGCCATTTTTCCCTGTGTTCCCCCCCCAGAGCCTGCTGAACCGACGCAAGCTCCTTAGGGAGAGTGGTGTCGTGGACTGCGGTGACGAGGCCGAGAATCTGCAGTCCAGTCTGTGAGTAGCGGGGAAGAGTTGCGTCCTCGGGATAAGCTGCTTCATCTCCCGCTTCTTGGTCGGGTATGAAATTCGGCCCTATCCGTTCTCCTTCGTTGGTGTTGACTGTCGCAAGTGTTACGTAACCGTTGTCGGCGAAGTAGTAGAAGACTTCGGCGTTGGCGCTTTCGCGAGGGTTGTCTTCGTCCATGGGGACGTTGACGGAGCAGAACGGGAGAGGTCCGGCTTCTTCTTATGCGTTGTCCACATTCTGCTCGTCCCAGTCTGCTTCGTCTGCTGCTGAGGCGAGGGCTCGGTCACCACGAAAGCCACCTGCGGGATCTTCATTTTCTTGCAAGTTGGCGAGGTACGTCTGAAGCGTGAGTCGTTCGTAGAAAATTACGTGACGTGCTGCTACTGTTTCCTTGGAGTGGACGTCGAAGATTTTCCACGCGTTGTAGTTCTTTTCGATGCCGAGGTGTAGTCCCCACTGTGCGCGCTGTGAAAATCGTCCCGCTCGTGCTTCTGGGGGTCGGTACTGTATCATGCACCCGAAAACTCGTAACATTTTTCTGCTGCCCTGTTTCCCTGTCCTTAGCAGATGCGGTGACGCGTTGTTTGGAAGTGAAGACGATGACATCAAGTTGTGCAGCATGACAGCATGGTCCATTGCTGTAGGCCACTGGTGGTTGGGTAGCCGCATGCCACGTAACAGTTTGCGCATGCTGTTCTGCAGAGTCCTGTTCATTCTTTCTGCCACACCTTGCTGCTGATGGGCGTAGGGAAGAGAGAGGAGCTGCTTGATTCCCCTTTCCGCCAGGTACTGCTTGAATCGCTGAGAAGTGTATTCTCCCCCTCCGTCTGACTGGAAGCTTTTCAGTTGTACGCCCGACTCTCTCTCTGCTACTGGTAGCCAAGCAGCGAAGGCTGCGAGTGCCATGTCGCGGCTAGGTAGGTTTAGGTGCCAGACGTAACGGGTGGCAGCGTCGATGAAGGTGATCGTGTAATTGTATGTAACTTGTCCTGGTTCCCGATTGAACAGGATATCGCTGTACACCTTCTCGAGTGGTGCGTACGCGGGTGCGCTCGGGTTGTGATGAGGAATGAACGGCCGATGTAGTAAGTCGGCTTCGGGGCAGGTAAGACAAGTTCCTCGAGCTCGTTGAAGTTCTCTGCCGTCGAGTAGTAGTAATGAGTCCTTGTCAAGGACTCCTGCTCTTATTGTGTTGTTTAACACAGTGTTGCTTGGGTGTCCCATGCGTGCGTGCCAGATATCTTCGGAGGCGCGGTGTCCGAGTGAGCGTCGATACGCGTCGGAGTTGGAGTAGAAGCTGGCGATGAAGTTTGCGCTTCTGTGGACTTCCCGTTGAGTCGGATTCAGCTGTTGTGCGGGTGTTGGTGGTGCTTCGTCAACGAGGACTAGTGTCGTTGTTCCTGCTGATGCCGACAATGTTTCTGCTGCTGCCGATGTTGTCTCTGCTGCTGCCGATGATGTTTCTGCTGCTGCTAATGTTGTCTCTACTGCTGCCGATGTTGTCTCTGCTGTTGCCGATGTTGTCTCTGCTGCTGCCGATGTTATCTCTGCTGCTGCCGAATGTTGTATTGTTACTAACGCACGTGTTCGTTCTGCTTCAGGAATGGTATGTGAATACCAGAAGCCTTTCGGACTGAAGTCGGGGTCGAGATCCGGCGGGTGTGTCCAGGATGTGAAGGTGACGATCCCGTCACTGTCTGCGGTGCCCAGGTCTGGGACGAAGTCGAGGACGAAGACATTGTTCTTCAGAATCACCTTTCGGATGTAGAGGCCGCCCTTCCCGTGGTACAGTTTGAACTCCTGGGTGGTACTGTCGGCTTCCAGATGTATGCCTTTCGCCATCAACTGACTGACGCTCAGTAAGTTGTAGCCAAGTCCTTCTTCTATCAGGACTTTTGACATTTGTAGTACGACATTTGTCTCTCGTGACTGAAGTTGCACTACCCCTTGTCGTCGTGTGCGCAGGTTCTGGTTGTTGACGACAGTGATGACGACTTCTCGTTGAAGTTGGTGCTCGCGTTGAACGAAACGTCCTGAAGAGCACATGTGTTGTCCGCAGCAACTGTCCAAGAACCATGTATCCTTCCCGGACGGCTCGCTTTGGGCGATGGCGGCGTAGATCGGGTTTGGTTGGAGTGACTCGCGGGGAGGCGTACCGTTGTCGAGTTGTTCTTATGGTGAGTAATATGGTGGTGACTCAGTTACGCAGGAGTCACTCAGCCTTGCCATGCAGCTGACGATGTTTCTTGTTTCTTTTGCAGGTTGTCCCGTTGATGCTGTTGAGACGTGGACTGAAGTTGTCGGGTTTGCTTGCGTTGAAGCGACTTGACTTCTTGAAGGGCGAAATTGGTGTTGTCGATTTGGGCAGTGCGTACGAGGGTGCCCTGAAGTCTTGCAGAGGTGGCAGAACGGAGGTATAAATTTCGGTCGATTGTTGTTGTTGTTGTAGCGCCGTTGAGTGTGAAACGCGAATTCGGGCACTGACACCTTTCTCCTTTGTCGTTCTTCTTGCAGGTCCATGTCTTGCTGTTCGGCGTGGATTTCGGCGCAAAGTGCCGCTTCAAAGATTTTCCCGTGGGCTCGTAGTATGGCGCGAGTGGAGCGCCAGTGAGGACCAAGACCGCCGACGACAACCGTGACGAAGGCGTCCTCTGAAATCGATCCTCCACATCGAAGAAGCTTGTTGCGCAGCTCGCGGCAGCGACTGATATACGCCATTCCCTTCTCGCCCGATTTCATTTCGATGGTAGTTAGCTGCGCCATTAACCGACTTTGGTTTACGCTGTCTGTTGCTCGATACAGGATCTTCAAGTGATTGTACGCGAGCTCCGCGGA